GCGTGGGCGTGGGCGTGCGGGGAGGGGGAGGGAGTGCGTTTATCAACACCCTTTTGGCCAGCTTGGCTGCGCCTAAGGCTGACATCTGACTAAAAGAGACTGAGAATTCCGGCTAAGATTGTTTCTTCCAAGACTTCAAATTATTCTGTCTCTTAGTTTTTATTCAATTTGCCTCAACCACAGTTTGATCACATGAATTTAGTTTATTTAATCTGGCTATCTACTTGTGAATGAAAAACATTGGTTCTTCCACTCTTTTTCTTTGAACCTCTCCCAAAAAAGGTCATCAACCTTTTTTGTGCCCTTGTCTCAAATTCCTACATTTTTGCCTGTCTGGAGTCCAAAAATTCAACACTTATCTTGCTCTTTCACATATTCCAAACAACAAACCTCCCATCTGCCTGATTCTTTTACCAGATTATTCTCATTTCATAAGGTTCAATTTCAAGGCCAAAATATGGCCATGCCACGGGATTGATACATTTTGGAGATTCTATGTCAGGGATGAAGTGCTGGGTTGGGAGGATTGGATCTAACCTAACGTTCACCTGGGTCAAGAAGTCTTGTACCCCCCAGTCAGAAGATCTTTGCGGCTCAAAAAAGCTCCTGTTGATGTTGATAAATTTTTTTCATTACTTTTCTCTGTACCTTCCACTGATTCCCTGCGTTTGTCCCTCTTCTTGTTTTTAAAACCACACTACGCTTGTTTATCCCCAAGCTCTTTTGCAAATCCAAATTTGGCCTCATTGGAATATTATAACATTTTTCCCTTTATCCATTGAGAAATTCAAGTTTGGAAGGCTGATTAACCACTGGGAACTTTCCACAGTGCTTGCATCAATAAAATGAGTGGGAGCAAAAATTAAAAGGCAAAGATATCATTTTTATGAAAAATGAATGTTACCATTAAATTCTACACCTTTCAAAGTGTAGTAAAAAAATTACAATGTCAAAAAATAATGAAAAACAAGCCGTTAGCAATTAATTGAATAAATGAGTGGGAGCAAAAATTCAAAGGCAAAAAAATCATTTTTTTATGAAAAAAATTAACCTTAACATTAAATTCTACACCTTTCAAAGTGTAGGAAACCAATTTACAATGTCAAAAAATAATGAAGAACAAGTCGTTAACAGTTAATTGTAAAAATGAGTGAACCAAAAAAAAAAAAAAAAACTCAATTTTATGGTAAATGGGCTTTACCATCAAATTCTACACCTTTCAAAGTGTAGGAAAAAATTTTAAAAATTCAAAAAAAACTTGAAAAATAAGCAGTAAAAAATTAGTAGGTAGACAGTGAAAAGTGGCTGCTTATTTTGGATTCCAGAGCTCTGAAACACAGACTTGACGTCATGAGACTTGTTCAGGTGGTGCATAATAGGTTCCAAAAAATGAATATGAAAAAATAGGGGGTATCAAATATAACCAAATCCACCATTATTTAATTGACTGGTTTGAAAAAATCCACACTTTTTTAAACATGTTGGTTATCCATTGAACCCCTTTTGGGGCCCATTTATTCAGAAAAAAGTTTTTGAAAAAGTGAATGGTTTCTGATGGTGGATTTCCTATATTATTTGATACCCCCTAATAAAAACAAAAAATAAAATTTCAAAATTTGTGAAAAATAAAAAATAAAATTGATTTTTGTCAAAAGCTTTGATATTCATTTTGGGGGAGTGGGAGTGCTGAGAGAAAGTTAGATTGGCATGTTATAAGAATGATTATAAATGGAAATTTTGGAAAAATTGGTTTCCAGATGGCTTCAAACAGCTGTTGAGTGAGGCATTCACCAGCCCACATTGCAGTAAAGCACTAGAATTTACTGTTTTGACTCCAATCTGGACAACCAACCTGGCTCAACCTTTTTTGGTTCCAATTTTTTTCATTTATAATCATTCTTGCCATATTCCACTCTTTGTTTCTCTCAGCACTCCCACTCCGCCAAAATGAATAACAAAGCTTTTGGAAAAAAAACATTTTTATTTTTTACTTTTTGCAAAATTTAAAACTTTGTTTTTTGTTTTTATTTTTCATATTCATTTTCTGGGACCTATTCTGCAACACTTCACCAAGTCTTGTGACTCAATGTTTGTGCTTTGAAGCTGTAGAATCCAAAACAGGCAGCCAAAAATAATGGTCCACCCACTGTGTGCTGCAGCAAAACTGTTTGTAAATGCGGAAAAACTGTGTTTTTTTTGTTAAGTCCCCTTTTTAAAAGACTAAATTTATCTGAGGAAATCAGCCACTGTTGGGACACCACTTGTGGAGCTGCGCAGCAAGTGAGTAAAGAGCTTAGAGGGGACAAAATAGCTAATAAAACTATGAAATAGTAGAATTAGTATCTGTGTGTGAGTCAGACTTCCTGTCAGCCACAGAGTACATGTCACAGTACCTTTCATGTACCAAGTAACTGCAACACCTGTACTTATGTACATAAGTACTTATCCATAATGTTGATTACCTTTACCTCTTGTTATCCTATCATTATTATTAACTTATATTATTTATCTTACAGTTATCTTATCTGTTAATTACTTATCTATTAAATACATACCTGTGTTATACATAAGTAATTATCACTTACCTTTCACTCCCTTGTCCGTGAAATACCTGTACCACAAGTTATCCCTCTGCTACAGTATTTTCACAGTCAGATATTATTACAAATAAATATGTACATGTATTAAATAGTAAGTATTAAGTGTCAATAGAATTAATACATTCTATACATGCACTGATCATAATTATGACTACATTATTAGAGGATCTGTTAAGTACACGCATCAAGAGCAACTAGTACATTGATCAACTAGTACACAATTATGATTTCACTTACAGATCATGACAAATAATGATCAGTCACTCAATTGATGTGCTCATTCTCCTGGCCAAAGCTCCCTTGATTCTGAGCGCTCATTCTTTCCCTCCTTCAATATTCTGGAACTTATAATCCGTGCCTCTTTCACTGATTAATCCCCAGAATATTCAGACACCAGTTAAACCAGTTAACATTTATATTGATACAGCACACGTAACCAACATAAATCTTGTCTACCTTTATTGTTCTTAAGCTTCAGTACTCTTACTCAACTTATCCACAGTATTCATAGCCTTGCTGAATATTCCCATTAACAATACCTGTTAATCTTCAACTAATTTTGTTAAAGCTTAATAAGTATTGTTAGCCCGTTCCCTTTTGGGAATAACCAAATCAATCCCAGGTGAGTCTTAGTACCCTGGATGCCTATTAATACCTTGTATTGATCCGGATGCGCTGTTGATAGCAAGCCTCTCAGTAAAGACCATACTGATAGAGTGAAACCTCCTCATTACAGGACTGGTATTAATCACCCACTACTTAACACTCACCACGCTCAAAAACTTCAGTCAACTCATAGTAACAACCTTTTTACTATTAAATACTCAGGTTAGTTACCCAGAGGCTGACACTTCCCTCTTGTCTAGCTTACGGGAAAGTTACACTAAGGAAAAAAATGAGAGTGTGGCTTATTTCTGAATTATCTTAGTGTTGATACTACTATTATTGTTGCTTAGGAACACCTGTTTAGGAGGTAAGGAGATTGTTGGGATTTCTGAGTGGTAAGGGTTTCTGAAGGGTATCTCTGTTAAATATGTTATAACTTCTCTCTGGTTCCCTGGTCTAATAAGACTCTGGTTTCTCTGGGCTGTGATAAATGTACAATTATTTCTCTGATATCTTTTTGAAAAAGAGTTGAGAATGGCTAAGTAATGTTTCTGAATTACTTTTCTGTGGCCAAATAAGAGTTAAGGTATGTTCAATGGGGCTCTAATATTTCTCTGGATGTCTCAGGTAAGGGTGGTGAAAGCTAAGTAATATCTCTGACTACTATTCTGGAGCTAGCATGAGGAGGGAAGAAGAAAATGTGGGCCAGAAGAGCCTCTATTTATAGAAAAATGGTTCTACAGTACATGAGATTTTGGCCTGAACACAAGTGCATCTGAGAAGGGTACTTCTAGAGTGGATTTTACTGCTCTGAGATGGTCTAATCTGATATGAATTAATCTCTAAGTACCCTTCTAATACAAGAGGTTGTATTTCTTCTATAAGATGCCTAATTTTAGATTAATTACTATGAGATTGGTATTCCAAGACTAATTTAGTATAAGAGTTATTTTCTATATCTAGTCTGTAAGGTATTCCCTAATTAATAACTTGATTTTAACAGTCTAAGATAGATGTAGTATCTTTTATGTATTTCTCTAGGCTACTTGTATGATTATTATTCATGGGAATTGAATATTTTTAAACCTGATTTGTGATTCAATTTAACTATAATTTAACCCAATAATAATAATGCAATTTATTCTGTAGTTTACCCCTTCTCCTCTAAGGTTTTAATTACTATTTATGTATAATAAGGTGTTTTTAATTAGGGGCTATAGGTTTGATTATTCTTACCACACCGTCTGCACCATCTTCATTGGTTTGAGATGGTTCAAATCCTCCTCTTGGATAGAATGTTTGCTATGCAAAAGTTCAATAACTTCCAAATTTCAAATTATTGTGAAGCTCCTCCCCCTAAAATCTAGTGACTTTATATTTCCCACTGTTTCAAACAGCATGTGCAACTTCTTTTTCTTTTCCATGTGTCTATCAAATGAATCATGCAACTTCCAAACTTGATTATCTCCTAGGCTTGTAGCTTGTCTTTTTTGCCACATCATCCATGGTAAGGGATGATTTTAATGTTCACTGTTGCTCCCCGCAACAATAACCCACAGGTTGGATCCTGGGATGCCCTTCTGAGGATAGACAGATGAGCATTGCAAGGTTGTTTTCCTCAAACAAATAATAATAACTTGGACGGTAACAAATACGCTGCCAGTAATTCGAGTCAACCGCTCAACATCTCAAGTGAGCCGGGCAATATAGTATACAAACAACAACAGACTGTTTTACATGCAATGGAACATTCGAACGAGAGAAGGAAGAGTGAAGAGAGATATGGAACGAAAGCGAGATCAGAGAGAATTAAAAGAAGGAACCTCAGAATTATTGGATACAGCAGAGTCTGAATAGACTTTGATCAAGAAATTTGGTAGGGAAAGTATATCCATAAGCGATATTAGGGTGAAACGGGTGACCCATTGACTTCGAAGAGTGCATGGTCGATTCAGGGTGATTAGGGGGAAGCGCGTGAGCCATTGATTTCGAGGCTAACGATACGGTGTTTGATGTCCTCGCCTCTCCAGTTGGACTTTGTTCGATCGGTCGCCGCGATCTGGCCTACGCGCCTTCCGTGCGATTGTGACAGTTCTTGGCCAATAGCTTCGCCAGGTGCACCAGGAGGACTCCATTGGACAGGTTTGCCTCGAGATTTAGGCTCCCAGTGGACCCCAATCCCGATTCCCACACCAAGGTTAGCCATGTTAGCACTTTCACGGAAGCCTTTTATGTGAGTCGAGCCAAAGCCTGGGGCTGAAATCGGAGTGGAGGAGACTCGGTACATTTTTGCTGATGCGTCGTTGTTGGGGACACCGAGAGACTCCGTTGTTTCCCTTCGTAGATGCTGATTCAAAGCGAGAGGCATACCGACTGCGAGGGAGTAGCCAGCGGTGTTCGAGTGGACCCCGAGAGTTTGTGCACCGCTCATCGGCATGGACCATCCGAGAGAAGTGTTGTAATCGAACGCAGGTGATGCCATCGGTGAGGGGTTGGGGGAGTGATTCGGCCCGAAGGTGACAGGGGCGCTGATCATTCTAATGGGACCAGAAAAATTGGGCATGGGTTGAAGACTGGAGTAACAACAGCAAGATGGTAAGTCTCAAGCTTCAAGATTTCTTCAAAAAGAAATGTATCTTACACTGTTGGGGAGCGGGAGTTCATACAACCTTTGACGTTTACGCCGCCAGGACCCGTAATTTCAAGAGCGGCTAAGCCTTTGTTGCTACGCCCGAGGTAGTATTCGACTACCTCTCCGTCGAGTAGAGATTTGTATGGCGCATCACACGAAACGATGCAAGAATAATGTACGAAGACTGGCCGCATACAAAATCAGTAAGCGCTCACAACTTGCGACAGCCAGGCCCGACTCACTATCAGTTCCTGGATCTCCCGTCAAGACAGGCAGTTCCTCGGGTCTTGAATCCTTAACTGAATGAAGTAAGAAAAAGAGGCATAAGCAAGGCTGACAATGAGACAGCATTGCAAGACTGTTATTGAGGAAAGGGACAAGAGTGAAAATGAGGCGAACTGAATCCAAAGCCTTTTCCAACGTTGAAAAACTTGCAAACTCCGGTTCTTCGAGGTGGTGGATTAAGTTTATCTATGACAGGAGCGCTTGCCATGGGCGATTGAGGATGAGGCGATAGACTTGCCATCATCATCTGTTGACCGGGATACCCGATGATGGGCATCATAGGGGGTGTCATCGCAGAAGCAGAGGGGAAGGAGACCGGAAGACGGCCAAAGGAGGGGCTATTAACAGTTAGGTAGGTATTTTCGTAGGACATGCTGGTATACCGTGGAGGTAAGGAGATTGAGGTTGTTTGCTGATCAAGAAGGCGGTTTGGGGACAGAAGAGATAATAAGGTATGGATGCGGATGTAGAAGGAGAGATGAGGCAAACTGGCCAGGAAATAGGAAACAGTACGGCAGTTTTAACAGGTAAATTACCACGGCTTGAGAATCAATCACTGCACCTCCGGCATGGTGGAATACCCAAGCAAGTCTTCCAATTGGTCTAGCCAGACTCGAGCACACATGGCTGAGACTGGCTATAATCAGTGCGGGTTCTTATGCCGACTGGATCTGTGGGACGCCAGTGCCAGTGCCCGAGCAGTCAGTCTCTGTGTGTTGATCGAGCTGCAGCTCATCTTAGCAACCGACTCTTGAGTGTACTAAATCAAAAATCATCCGTTCAAACTTCTCCTGATCCCTTCCAGGTCAATGGTCTCTGCTCTGCCGCTTCTCGTCAGAGGCTCTTCGTGAGATCGAGCCAGTGAGGGACCTGATGCAAATTCACCCGGCGTCAAGATAGCAGTCTGGCGTTTACATGCTTTGATGAATTCTTCGATGAATGAGAGAGATGTGATATAAAAACAAGAAAAGCTTTCTTTTTGCCCTAACATGAAGTGCTCATCATTCTCCTGAAGACGGCTAATGTTAAGCTGGGCTCCTTCCCCGAACGCAAGAGGTCATAGCTGGAAGGAAACCTGCACTTATACACCACGTCGATAGCCTTCACTCCTGCATAAACGGCTAGTATATTAGTATGGAAGTAGAGGCTGGAATGGAAGGCCATGAAGGATTTGATGGACCTGGAAGTAAGTGGGGCAAGACCCAAACGAGTTTTGTAATCAACTTCCTACCTTTTATCTCCCGTCGAAGATCGGTGCGAAGGCATGGAACTAGATCACATGCTTGATAATACCGATGTGCTTGGTGTGGAAAACACTCGCATGATGCTGCACCATCGCTCATCATGCAAAAGTGTAGCGTACAACCAAATGAGGTGCCGCATGGCCGGACACAGGGAGAGAGTAAAATAACTCTTTCGATATATCATGGCAATATTTCTGCAATAAATTCAATTTGTTGCAGACCAACTCACAAAACCGAAAATGACCACTCTCTTGACAATCTATCAGTATTAGGGATATGTGTGGGTTTTTACCAATCAATCAATTCCAATTCTCATCTTGATGGCTTGCGAGAGTCGAAAGATGTGACAGGCGCTGATGACAAAACACCTGTAGCCTAGCGCAACTAGTTATATGCGCTAAAAGGACACATTGAGCAACAATTTTCACTAAAAGATTCTTGTGAGGATGGATTATGTACAATAGATTCGCTGGTGGTGATGTTTTAGTGTCGCGATTGCGGATTTACTATGTCGTAGCTTTAATCCAACTGACAAGATCTGGATCAACAGCTCTGGCACATCGTATTAGTAAGGTGGGGACTTGATTGATGGCTCGGATACTGCAACGCATTGATCTCTGGTGCTAATAACTTGTTTGCTAAGCCATGGAAGATGATGATAACGAACCATGTATGTACAATGAAAACGGCAGAAGAGAAGTACAAGACGCGCATAGCCTGGCGACTACAACTAAGAATTACGGGAGCCTCAGAAAGAAAGATGCGATGATGAATACAGATGTATAAGCACCTAGAAGTATTGTAAACTTCGTAAAAATACAAGACTAAGGTCGCGTTTTGAATGCTGGTGGCAGGTTGATGAGACGAGTGAGCCTGCACGACAATGAAATTTTAATAACTGCATAATGGAAGGCTGGGAAGGGGAAAAAAATGTCTGAAGGAATGAGACAAGCTATTTGAGGGAAATGTATCAGGATATCGAGACGATTTGATTAATATTCATGATTATTATCAATTCAATATTCTCCTAATCACTTTCCATCCACTTGCCAAGACTAGACCGATAGCAATTTGGCTGGCGGTGAGTAGGATACCTTGTCCCTCTTTTTCGGCTTGAGAGGAGAGTGGGTTCAAGTCACGATGTCCGCCGACAACTGGCAACTTATTGATGATAGCCAAGGCTGTGTGGAGTGGTAAGATGATCAGATGTGCGATAAGGTCGGCAAACGTGGTCCTCTGTTCGCAATTGTAGGCTTCTACAGACCAGAGGGCTATCGTCGGGGGTGATAGGTTGAAGTTAATCAGAGGAAGGCGAAGGTCGGGCAGATCGGTTGAAGTTTTTGATCGACGTGTGGAATGTCTGGACTGGATAGGTCGCTCTGTAGCACTAGGATTGGACCCGAAACTGACGTCACAATCTTGCTGATTGACGGAAAGGAGATTACTATAGTCTCCTTGAGCTTCTTTTGCGACACAAGACTTGTTTGCGAGACTGGTCTGTAGTGGGTCTTTGCCATGACTATGGTTAGATGACGAGCGATGAGAGGATGAGATTTCAGTGGTAGTCTGTGGTGATAGATCTTGAGATGATGAAATAGCCGGTCGGAGATTACTTGAAGAAGATGGCAGGGCTGATTTGATGTTTGAGGGGGGTAAGGATATGTCTTGTGAAATCGGTTGGAGGGAGGTAGGTTTGACGAGTTTGTGGGGTGAAGTGTGGATAGCTTGACGAGGATGATGATCTGTTGAATCAGATTTGCCGGAATCCTCACTGAATCGTTTCTGATGTCGATCGGAATCCGTCTGTAATCGGGAGCGAAGAGAAGTTTTGAGTTGACGGATCGTAGGAGTCTCTCTGACGAATTCTTCCAAGTGAGGGTTGATGTCGTTTAGGTTGGGTGAGCTGGTGAGACTATAGGGAGGAGAACCCTGAGGGGATGGGCTATGTAGGGAAGAAGATGGTCGGCTCAAGGATCTGCTTAAGGTATGAGTAAATAAAAATCAATCAGATGAGGATGATGAACTTGTAGAGTTTGTTGAGATGGAAATAGTGAGAAAGGCTCACGAGGAATCGGGTAGATTTGGCTGCTGCTGATGATGATGTTGATGTTGTTGATGATGCTGGTGATGATGATCGGATGGAGGGGTACCTTCGAAACTGATGGCTTCTACTTTGGAAACTAGGCTTTGGACGACGGTCGGACGATTCCCTAGGAGCTTTGAGACCGGACTTAGGGATGAGGCGGTCCAATCCTTCTTAGTATTTGGTGATCGGCTGAGGTTGTTGCTGTTGGTCTTGGACATTATATTTGCTGAGCTGGATGATTGGTTAGAGAAAGGTTCTCAAGCTTTCATTCCGTTGACTGAGATCTGAATCCAAAGCGATACTTATAATAAGTTGTAGGGTCGATTGGGAATTATTATAAGCTGTTGTTGATGCAGTATTGTAGGATGAAGTAAACCAAAGATAGAAATTTGATGTTTAGTTTTCGCGTATCAACTTCATTTTGGCAGAATGCCGGCGGTCAACAAAGAAAGAAGAACAAAAGGAGCGAACCTGCATAGTTGTGGGGAGAACAAAGAAGATTAAATGTAAGACACTCACCTTTGTTTATCGATTCCTTCGATCAAGTCGTTCGTCGTCATCACTTCTCAATAACCCCGGCACATATCCTAGTAGGTAGTAGTACATTCACCTGCACCGCAAAAACTTAAAAAGAAGTATCCACAGCCAGCTTCAATCCCCCGATCAGATCAACTTTCGAGATTCATTAAGGCCCTTCGATCTGCTTCGGAAGCTCATCCACCCCAGAATCACCCATGACGCAACCTTGCAAGCACACTGCCACAAATGGCATCTCCAACCGCTCCGTTCTCAAACCCGGCTTTTTCGGGTGGGCCCAACAACTCTCGGGATTGGATCGGTCTCAGGATCAATAAGACCTGAATGGGCTTCAAAAGCCAAGGTTGGAGGGGATCCGCCTCTGGGAGGGGAAGATCTGAACTTCGTCGAGGTTGGTTAGCTGGTGTGGAAATCATAAAAGTCTCCACGGAACTTTTTTTTTTCAAGTGGCTCTGCCCTTATCACTATAGAGCTCCCAAAAAAATAGGATTGAGGCTTGAGATTGCTGCTAGTTTCTGATGAGGTTGGACTTGTGCATACATAGGCAATTTGGTCATCAGGGAATTCTTGGGGGGTAACAAGCAAGCGGCCACCAGCCCTGATTTTTTTTTTTTTGAGAAATTTAAGCATAAGCACCCATGAAGTTGATTTTCTGAAGTGACCTAAGCATAATGTTTATCATACATGGAGAAAATATGTGATCAATGTTTATTAGATAATAGAACAAATGATCAATAATAGCATTCTACTAGAGTACAGATGTTTAGATAAATGTTGCCATGATGTGACTTCTATTATTTATTGTGATGTGAATGCTTTTGTTTTAAAATATTGTTTGATTATTTTTTTATAAAGTTATTACCTGTTTGTGTTTCCCTGCAGATTTTCTCTTTCTCATCAAAATACTCTTTGTTTATCATCATGGCATCTGTGTCAAAGACTGCATTTAAAAATGAAAATAAAAACATCATTTATGATTATAGTTATTATTTGGTTGATGCTAAAGGTGACTGCCAACCTTTCATTTTGATAAATTATCCTCTTAATGGATAATTTCATAATCTTTGTCAGATTAGGGAAGGTAGCAGGCTCTTCCTCACACTAAGGATGCCTCCAGCATAATTGCATCTAGTGGCCTATATGGAGTGTCTCAAGCTGTCCAAATTCTATCACAGCTGTCCAGATTTCACGCTGTAGATGATGGGTGGGGGTGGATCAAATTCTACAACAGATTCCAGAAGAATCACCAAGGGGAGATTTGTTCCACAGAAACCACCTGTCAGCCACACCAATGTGACTTTCACAGTGTGGTTTGAAGTTGAGGTGCGCAGTGTTTGTGGTAGGGTGCTGAATGAAGCTACCAGCACTGGTTGGCTTTTAGCTAGCTATTGGCCAAATATAGCAACAGTCAGCTGAAGTTGTAGCTGCAATCCAATTTGCTCCATACTCACACAACTCAAACAAGTGTAGTTAGGTTTGGTGGATAAAGTGGTCAGCATACATGGAACTAGCAACGAATACAGATGCTCTCACTTTCAAAGAATGTGAAACAAACTAGGGTGCATTGTAAACATGCATACATACACAAACTGGGAATTTTTAATTCTTTCCTTCTAGAACCAGGTAGTCTAGCAATAGCTGAAAGTCAAAACTTGCTTGATTTCAGCTCAAAAAATGCAAAGGATTTTATATGCATATTTCCCATTCATTAAATACACACAAGATGAACAGTATAAGATGTTTGCAGCTTACATACCTATAGTAAGGGCTCTGAGTACTTGGTCCCTTCCCAAATATAACTTAATAAGAATCAAGTTAAATGAATAATGATAAGTTCACTAACTGCACAATTATGATTTAGCAGAATTTGACATCATAGTTCAAGAATAGTCATGAAATATTTTGTCTACCAGAATTGTTGTATAGAGAACACTGTAGGCTTTCCTGACTATTCCTTCTACCCATCACTTGGAAAATACAACACAAGCTGACCAGGGATCATATACAGTATTTGGAGGAATCTGAAATGGAGTTTAGACCAATCCCCCAATGAAATTTATATTAAGACTATTACTCAAATTTAAAGAGTAGAACCCTTACCACCTGCTAGCAATAGCACTCCTTGGCAGTCAATAACTTGCTCACTACCTATTTTAGATGGCCTTGGTTTTTTCTATCCTTAAACTTTCAAGTAAAACTCTGTTTTTCTATCCCCTCAACAATCACAATACCCTCACAACACTCTAAAACCTTTACAGTTTCTGAATTTTCAATTACCTAGAATTTCAAACCTGCCTATTTTGAGCTTGGATTTTCCTGTATCTAGCTTCAGGAATACTTTTATAAGTCTCATCAAGAATTATCTGACTTGTGAAATTATCAAATCCAGTGTATTATTGATACCAATACTTTCTTATCTTCTTGATACTCAGTCATGGCTGTGGATATTAAAAGCTACTACTTTGATCATCCTAAGCCTGACACTTACACTGAATGCCAAGAGGGTTGTTGAAAAGTTATGGATTTTGGCAGAAAAAAATTGGGAAATTCATCCCTTTTCAACAGTATGCTTGGGTCAACCCCCCCCCCCCCAAATAAAAAGGGGGGGGGGACTCACCAACAAAAACCTGGGTTTGGGGTCCAAATTCCATATTTTACTGATCTTGACCAGTACCACATACCTTTATTGAGCAATTTCAAGAGTACCTTATTGGTCCAAAATACCAATCCGCATCTCTTTCAGCTTCTTCAAGAGTAGGTTTCTGGGATTTTTGCCAATTTTCCATAACTTTTTGAAAATTCCCCTTTTGGGGGCTTTCTGAGGAGATCTCAAGACTTTATGTTTTCCTTGTCCAAATATCTACAGTAATTTAATAACCAGAAAGTCATGTTTGTAGTCACTTGGCCACCAGGAAGCCATATCTGACTTGAAATACATAGCAACTCCAAGCCACTTGTATATATTCCCATGGCAACTACTGGACTGTACAAGTCACTCAATCAGTCTGCATTTACAATTTGGGAGGCTGTGTAGGTTATTTAGAAGAATACATAGCATTAGCAACCAGAGGGATGTTTAAGCCACACTTGTGACTAGATCACTTGACACTATCCAAATTGCCCCATAGCTACACTGACAGATTGAAAACAGCAGGCAAGCTGTAATCAACCATTGGTAAAATCAGATCAGCTAAATACCTTCATGTAGCTAGCTATCCAGAATAAACACCTCACCTTTTCCTCCATGAGGTTTGGAATGTCACTGATTCTGTCAGCTCCGGTCTCTTATATGACCAGGAGTTGATGGGGTATTGGGTCACACTATAAATGCTGAGGCAGTTGGTGGAAATAAGCCTCTCATCAACACTTAAAAGTGCAGGGGCTATCTCCTTATAGTAAAAAGGGACAGCAGTGCAATGAGCTTCACTGTTCCTGAACTTTGGAACTATAAAGAAAATGGAGTTGTCACTGGTCTCTAAAGTTAAATATTTAACTCTTATAGACTAGTGATAAAAATATTAGGAAAGTACAGTCTCCTCCCAGATGTTTATAGCCATCTGTTTTGAGCTCCACACTGGGACCCCAAGAACTTCAAGTCAAAAGAGTTTGTGGAATGGTGGAAAATGGGTCTCAAAGAATGAATATGAAAAAATAATTATAAAAATCAAGATTAGGGGGTATCAAATATAGCAAATCCACCTTTGCAAACCAGCCAATTAATTTTTTTGAAATCCATGATTTTTTTTTCTCATGATTTCAAGTTGGTGGATTGAGGTTGTGTAAGCCAAACAAGACAGCCGTAAACAAATGGTAGGTGACACTGTATAAAATGGATAGGGAGTTGGTTGACCAACTCCCAATAGATGAAGAAACGCATCATTGCCTTATCCAGAGATTGAGCAGCCAACCCTTATAACACATGTAAGTGGCCAAACTCCTCTCTTTTGGGGCTTTGGCAGCATTACATGGCATAGATTTCTAAAAAAAAAGAATCATATATCTTACCAAGAGTTAGGTCTTTTTGTTTGAAAAAAGTTTTACTAGTTGTTAATACTGTGATGAGCATATTTTTTTTTTTTTTTTTTGAAAAGACAATGTAAAATTCATGCAATGTGCAAAAAATCCCAAACATTATGGGGGAAGTGATGATAGTGAGTGGAGAATCACTACTTGATCTTTACCCTACCATTTATAAAGGTAGTGTAACTAACCAGTGTTGCTGGGAGGCTAAACACTGTGATTTGATGTCACATTTCCCAACCAAATCAAGATCTCTAGTCTCCACCTGAACCATCAAAAATTTAAATTCATGAAAGTGTGTTGTTGTGGCTAACTTGAGACTGAGTTTGAGGTTGTATGGGTTGTATGTTTGACACAACAGTTAAACTTTATGAATATCCAGATGGCCTGATGTGGCCGGTTAGGTTGACAATCACTTGGATTTGTGGGCTTAAATCTACACTAAATCTAAAATCAGAAGGATTTTCAATTGTGGTCAGAAGCAGAAAGTACAAATGTGAACCCTGCCAGGTTCACATAAGGTGTGTTAATGGCATGTGTTTAAAATGGGACTGCTGGCCACTTGTTTGTCCTTTTTTTTTGCATTTAGCATGGGACAGCACCAAAAGCTGAAATAAGCTGGAGGACTTCCCCTTGCCAGTTTGAAGTTGTAAAGTAAGACTCTAATGAAAACCACGACTAGCTCACATGCAGATTAGATTGAAGTGGTGTAAATTGAATCCTGCCAGGGTTCTTCTAAATCCCAGTGGGAAGTGATCAGCCACTTTGCATGTGATCATATTGATATGTACCTATTGTGTTTTGAAGAAAGCTTGGACGGATTTGCAGGATCTGCAATCAAAAATCTTGGATTTTCATCATTTAGGTTTGGATTTTTATTTTATTTTTTCCCTCTTAAAGCCATGATGACGTCATAGGCTACCACAGCAGCCTCCATCACTATTGATTCACAATCCGGGTGAGCTGCCTCCAAACCACCTCCAAACCACTAAAAACGATTGACCAATCATAGCGTTGGTGGTTCAACAATTGTCTCGATGGCGCAGCTTGGATACAACCCTCTTGGAAGGAGTAAGACATCATCTGGTTATCACATTGCTAACGAATTCCAGAGGATACATGAAAATTAAATCATACCACTGTTTTCGAAGATCCCAGTCAGTATTTTACAAACTTGACACTCCTCAGGACGGGTGTTGTTTCTTATCCATTTTGTCTTGTTCCCTCTGCATACACTTATACTGGCACAGGTCTTCCATCTCCACTTATTCAGTCAATCGCTTTTGGTCTTGGTGTATTTCCTATCATGTGTCTTGCCGAGGCCCATAACATAGATCTTAACCTGTTTCCTATCATCCTTGTTGTCCTAGTTGTGTACGGCATTGTTGATCTTAAGATTAGCAGAAATCGAATCAAATATTCAATATTGACTTGGTGAGATGTGTACAATCGATCTCAGAGTTGTCTGAAATGAAATGTGAGCCATGTTAAGAGAGATCAATCTTAAGACTTGAGTTAGAATGAGTTGTTTGAGTAACCCCATCCGAGTTGATGCACATCTATTGATCAGAAGTTGAGGCTTTGTTCACTAGGATCTTTGGGTAAACTAAAATGTTCAAATAAGTTTACTGACACGGTCCTCATCTCCTTCGAATGACTGTCATCTTTGGCTACAGCTTCAGCAGCAACCATCATTAGACTTGCGACGATTCACTTGAATTTGATTCAAAATCATTTCATTACTAGGTTTCATAGGGATGAATACATAGGCTACTTTCCTAGTTACAATTGTATCTTAAACTTCATTCAAGGATAAGATGAGTAACAACACCCAAATCAGAAAAAAAAAATGCAGAAGAACAGACATTTTGAGTAAAAGATCAAGACCAATTGTTTCCTCTTGTTCATTCAGATATGCTTGTGATGAATACTGAGGGGATATGTAT